ACAGCCATTTACCTATTTCATCAGTCACAAAGTGCTGCCTAGAGAAATTCCAGAGGTGTAGGGGCAACCCCCTTCATCCAGAATATCATCCAGGTGCCCTCAGCCACAGTGGCTTCAGAGAGGGATGGAAAATCATGGAACAGCACTGGGAGCAGCACTCAAGGCTGCTGCCATCACCCCTGGGTCCCAGCACTCACCTCCTGCAGCTCCATGCTCATCTCCTTCCATCCCACATTCACCATCCAGCCCCAGGGCTCCAGCACAGCCCTGTCCTCCAAGGCCAAGGAGATTTAAGCTCCTCCTGGAACCACCATCACCTCTTCCAGGAATCACATTAAAATAAAGCAAAGCAATCTCTGTTCCTCATTACAGCCAGGAACACTGAAATCCCAGGGCTGGTTGCAAGCTTGCATATTTATCTCTAGGTTTCAGAGCCCAGACAAAACACAGCCCACTGAGGAAGTGAAGTTAACCCTGATTTTGCTGTTTGTTGTGTTTTTACAACGTCTGGATATCTCTGAAGTTGGTAGATCCTGGCAAGTCACGAATTACTGACAAAAACCTCTTGGCATTGGATACATAGCAATGGCTGTGGGGCTCATTTGGATCATTTTCCCAGAAATAAAAGCAGCCTTGTGGATATGTAGCAGGCTGGGGTGCTGTTCTCCTCCTGGCTCTGCATTACAGTCCCTCCATAAACACCAAGCAAATCACTTCATTTCCCAGGGCCTGGCTCTTCTTGCTACCAGGAATAAACAGCTTTGTTTGTTTGCTTTCCTGTTGAAAACCTTTTTCCCTGTGAAAATTCAGAATTTACCAAACTGGCCTCAGTTTTTGTTGTTTTTGTTTGTTTGTTTGTTTGTTTGTTTGTTTTAATGGCATATGTGAGATATCAAGAGTTCCAGAGTGCAAGAATACTTGGGCTCTCTCTGCAATATTTACATTTAAAATGCAATGTGTACCTTTTGAGAGTTTCACTTTGAAAAAGAAGAAAAGAAACACACAGAAGCTTCAGGACAAGGACAGATCTGCTCTTGCTCCTGCTGGCTTGGTTGATAAACCTCTGGTGGCTGTGCAGTGTGACCTCCAGGAGAGCAACACCCGTTCAGGACTTCAAGATCAGCCTCTGGAAACTTTTTTATTTTTTAATCTGACTGATATTTTATTTTTTAACCTGACTGACATCTTTCAGCAAGGCTGGAGAACCACTGAAGTTCACTTGCCTGCCACACCGAGATGCAAAACATCTGTGGATTGCATTCCTGGTTCCTCCAAGGGCTCAGATTTTCTCCAGGGTACATTTAGGGTGTATTTTCTCCTCCATGGGACTCGACACTGTTCTGACCTATCTCGAGCTGAAAATGCAGAGCCAAACCAACATGGATCATCTGGAAACCCCTTGCCTGCAGCACACAGGTGTGAGAAGCGTAAAGCACCGAAAAAAAAGTGTAGATATTGGGGAAAAAAAACACAAGGGTACCGAAAAACACATCTCCTGCTGGCCTCTGCCACATAAAACTTTGGGCTAGACATTAAAGACTTCCATGTCCTCAGACTGAGAACCAAAGACAGGAGAACTTTATCTTATTCTGCATTAATACAGCCTCTTTGGAGCAGAAATAATCGAGGTGGTGTACACCACATGCTTTAAAACGCTGCTTGAGCCAACAAACCAAAACAGAACAGTGGCCCAGCTAGCCAGGGGATGAGAACAGGGCATTTTTTATTCCTGGTTCCTAGTTTCCAGTATTTATTCCCTGAACTATAAAAAAATGGGCTGAAAACAGTCATTATTGCAGTTTACAGGGGACTGGGAAAAATCTCTTTTTCTCCCTTTTGTGCAAGAGCCTGATGACAGACCTGTCAATAGAAATTTTATGGGGCTGAGGAGATCCATCATAGTGCAGAGCAAGGATCTTGTTAGCACAACACCACATAGCACTCGAGACTTTAAGGCTGCAGAACTTTGCAGGCACCTGAGAAAATGTTACTTCTTCAGATAAAAACCACTTTGTGTTAGAAAAACGTATTCCAAGAAAAATGACAGCAAAAGACCAAGAGCCTTCATGTTTGAGAACAAACTATTTTAATGTGCCAGATGCAAAGCAAAGAAGCTTTTTCCTGGTCCAGAGGCAGGTTTGGGCTTCCTGAACCTGCTTCATAGGTTACTTGGAGCTTTCCCCCTTGGGGGGATGGAACTACATGATTCTCAAGGTCCCCTCCAAGCCAAGCCCATGATTTTATGATTCCTTGCTGCTGCAAATCACATCAAGATGAAATATTTAACACTGGGTGCTATATCTGCTCTACCGACTCCCTTGGCTTTTCAAGAGTCTCCTAATTCTATTTCTTGCCCAGAACTACAATTTGTCATTGTCTTTACTGACACTGAAAGAAAAGAAACAACCATTACTTCTCCACAACGAAAAAACTGAAACTGAACTTCAAGCCAGAATTATCACTTTGAGTGACAACCTGAAAGAAAAATAATAATTAAAAAAGAAGGCAAATTGCAAGAGTTCAGAGCACTAAAATAGAAGTGCTATATTTTCTACAGGTCTTGCTTCGTTCATTAATTCAGTCAAATACTTAATTTGTATTAAATTCATTAGCTTTGCTCAAAATTAAATAAAGCAAAAATTAGACAGAGCAAACAGAAAGAGAGGTGGCAAGCTGAGGGCACAAAGCACACCTTGCAGGCAAAGCTGTGAGGGCTCTGGGCTGGCTCTGGGACTCCAGGGTTGCAAGGAGAGAGGTTCAGCCCATCCTTTAGGCTCACATCTGGGGCCTCTCAGTGCCCAACCTGGCTCTGCTGTGGTCAAAAAAACCAGCCTGGCCCAGGCACCATCACCAGCTCTTGGGTATCTCAGAACTCCTGACAGGACCACAGCAGTGCTTCACCCACACTCACTGCACAGCTTTTTATTTCACATCAACCATATCCTGCCCAAGAAGAGTTAATTCAGGGTTTGCTCTTGCACAGCTGAAACCAGCATTCAGTGGGAAAAGCAACAAGCAGAGGAGAGTGGGTCTGAATTCACGTCACCAACACCCTCTGGGGCACCCCAAGAGCACTACATGTTCTAGAGAGCAATAATGCAGATTTTTTATTGTTTTTAAAGGAGGCCTGCAAGAGTTGAAATCTTGTGGATTTCAAGATCCTGGCACAGGTGTGGGATCACAGGGAGGGAGGGAAGAAGGATTCTCTGGGTTCTGTCAAACCACAGTTCCTGCAGCCCCCAGGGTTGGTGTGGTCCCACTGATGCACCCCGCTCCTGTTCCCAGATCCTCAGCTGACAACAGCCTCACATCCATGGATGGGGCACATTCACAGCAAAAACACCTCAGAGAAGGCACATCATCTATTTTAAAGAGAGCAGAGGCAAGGAGAAACAGAGACAGAGAGAGGGAAGAAATGCTAAAGACACCCTATGGAGGGGAAAAAATTGTATTTATATCCAGAATAAAAAGAATAAGGAATTTTTTTTTAAGGAGTCATAATTTTGATGACTTGGAAAAAAAAATCCTATTATCAGGCAGACTGAAATAAAGAAAACCCAGCAAAAATTTAAAAAAAATTGTTTGAGAAAGGGTGGGAAATCAATCCCCAAGCAGTGCCTGAAGTCTGGCAGGAACAAGTTAGTCCTCAGTTTCTCTATAAAACAGCCTGGACTGAAATAGCTCTGGGGTCAGTGAGGGAGATGGCTGGGGAAGAATGTCCTTCCCTCTATCCCAACTAGGTGCCAGGGCCACCAGGACCCAGGGATGTGCCCCTTGGAGGGTGCAGGAGTTGGACTTTGCTGATCCTTGTGGGTCCCTTCCAACTCAGAGCATTCTGTGATTTCTGTGAGAGGTAATCTCCTCCCAAGGTAAGGAGATTTTCATTTTAATTTTGCACTGGTTGCTTTACACAGGAAACGTCAGCTGAATGAGGGGAGTTAATATAATCAGATGCAGCTTAGCACAGCAAGTATATCCAAGCAGAGAAAACAAAGAGAGGCAGGTATAATTTCTCCAGACTTCCCTCACTTCCTATTGCTCTGTCCTTTTCTTTTTTCTGAAAAACTACATGTATTTTTAACACACCAAACAGGCAACAGCAGGGGAACACTGATGGACAGAAGAGCCATATGGGAACCTGCAAAGAACGAACCTCCTTCCAGCTGGATGTTTCCTATCCTGCCCTATAGTACCTTGACAGCACCCAAATGTCTCTGTCAGACTCCCAGGGGTGACACCTTTCTTCCCCATCCCTGCTGCAGAGGTGAGCAGAGATGAATTTAAATTTTCAACGAAAAAAGCCACCACTCCTAAAGTGAAATCCAAGCACCACCAGGACTGACTGTTTTGGGTAAACTGCCTAAGACAACAAAGGACAGTCTCAGGTGGGCCTAAAATCCCAGCCTTGGTTGTTTGGTTGGAATTTTTTTGGATTTTGCTAGTTTTATTTTTTATCTCCTCATCTTACCTACTTTTCAGACTTTTACCCTACTGGAGATAAAAGTATTTACCTTAAATACTTCATCACACTGTGGTGCATGAGACCCTGTGAATCTGGCTATTTCCATGAACAAACCAACTAGCTTGGCATAAAAAATCACAGGAAGCAGGCAGGATGTGGCAGTGGCTGCCCTCCAGATCAGGAGAACAAGTGGGAAGCTGCTTTTTGAGCTTTCAAGTTGTGAATTTTTCTCGGACTTCCTTCCAAAAAACCCTTAAAATTTCAAATACAATTCTGAGACTCCACGTTTCCAGCAAAAGAGAGACAAAAGGAGAATTAAACATGATGTTATGAATGAGACCTCACTGTGTAACAGAAGGAAACCTCATGAATGTCTCCTTTACTCAATAACTGGGGGAAGTCACTGTCTGCAATCAGACTTGCCCTGAATTAAACCTTTTATTGGAAAATCTAAATGTGACCGTACATGGGAACAGCCAGACAAGAAAAAACCCAAGAGCCATCTTTGATCTTCCCGTTCTGTGAGTCCACACATCCTCCAGAACAACAGAGGAAAGAGAAGTAAATTATTTCCAGCATTTCCCATTTCCCTCGGAAAGCAGTAGCTGTACAAACAACTGAGTTCTTCATTTCTCATCTCGGAGACTTTGTTAACAGCAGGCTCAGCCACCAGCACAGAATGGAAACAAACTCAGCATTTGTGCTCATGCCCATCCCTGCTCAAACCTGCTTTACATGGCCAAGCATGACACTGTTCCATATAGACACAAATTGGGATATTGTAACTCAGTAAACGACCTCCAGTTTCTTCTCTTTTTCCATCCCTGGCTCTGTCACAGGTATTTAAAACCAATTTCTAACATCCTTTTCACCCTTGCAAGAAATTCCCCCCAAGAAATTTGCACTCTCCCTGTTCTCTGGTTACAAAAACAAAGATTTCCTGGGTTGTTGCAGCACAGCTCACATCCACGCTCATAACTGGTACCACAATAAACAGCAGGGAAATCAAAACCATCGTGCTATAAAATACAATTACCAAAAAAAAAAGAGCTGCCCAGATACTTTTTCAGGGTAGCTGTCACACTAAAAACTTACAATCTTCCTGTGTGAAGTGAACTCGGGAAATAGAAACACTCGTAGAGTAGATGGGAAGCATTATGGAGTAAAAATCATCCAGATGTTTTAAACATGTTCTATTTTACACATGCTCTACTCTCTCCTCAGCTTGCCCTTCAAGAGGCACCCAGGTGAAAAGCACGAGGGACAAAAACAATCTGTCTCAAGGAGAACTTTGGAGAAATAAAACAGAGCGAGCATGAACCGGATCCCAGGTCTGAGATCAGAGCAGAGGGCACACACAGCTCCAGCTGGCACCAGCAGCCCCTTCCACATTTCCCCCATCACTCCAGAAACCTCAGGCACACCCCAGCATGTGGCCCCTGAAAAATCCAAACTTCTGCACAGGGACACAGAGCAGAGCCCAGCTCTGAAGGGAAACCAGCCAAAGTGACTCCCTTACCTTCTGTGAAGCTTCCTGTAAGAGTTATGACAACAAACACTTTGCCTTCTGGCTCCAAATCCACCTGAAAAAAAGGACAGGAAATGTTAGAAGATTGGGTTTTTTTTGAGGCAGAAATTCTTCTTGGTATTTTGCACGACTAATCCTGCCAGCATTTGATAATACTTGAACCTTTGTATCTTCTCATGCACACTTTAAATTGAAAAAAAAAAAAAAAAAATCAAGCATCCACTGCCCAAATTGTTCAGCATTCAGGGCTCCATAAAAATAAGGAATTAGATTCCTTCTTTTTCCTAGAAATGCTGAACAATCTCAACATTGCTAGGGGAAAGAGAGGTTTTAAAAAAAAATACAGTTAATAGTGTTCCAATTTGTGAGATAAATGAAGCAGGACTAACACTAAATTCTCTGAAAAGATCAATGCATATCTGTTTCGAGAATTATATGGATATTTCCTTCCTATTATACTTTAGCTCAGTGAAATTGTTTCAGTCTCTCAAAATACCATCAATGCTGAGGCAAAGGCTGATTTCTTACATAAATCACCTTTTGGCCTTAAACCATAGGAAATAGAAAACTGTTAGTACTGTTACCTAAGGACTTCTTGTCGTTTAATCTAAATTAGATAGAGATGGAGATACAGAACATCATTTTAGGGATCAGAGATTCAATCCCAGAGTCAGTCAGCCTGTCCTTGAAAGAAAGCATTTATTTTTTGGTGAGTGGATTTTTCATTTTGAGATACATTTCTAATAAAGGTCTTGCTTTTTGGTGGTTTTTTTTATTCACCGGCTAAAATCACAGCTAAGGATCCCTGAAGTTTGAATCAGGTTGTCACACAGAAATCTCACTTAAAAAAGCAAAAACAAAGAAAGAAACAACAGGGCACCCCCCAACATTTCCCACAAATTTCAAGGTGAAAATTAGCAAAGAGGAGCTTCACACCTCCTGGATATTGATAACCAGTGGAGAACAGGAATTTTGAAAATAGAGGTCTCTGGGGGAATTAATAAATACAATAATCCAAACCCTCTCTGCTCGTCCTGCACAACCACAGCTCAGGCTCACCTCCTGGGGCAAGAGGAGGGGAATCACAGACAGCCCTAAACTTCCCTAGCCCACATTTTGTTGCAGAAGTAAAGAAATTGTTATTTAAAATGCTGGGAGTTTGTGAAGAAATATTTTCAGGAAAAAACAAAAAGGGCAAACATCTTATTCACACAACTCCAGCCACAGCTCAGAGGTGTCACGCACACACCAGCATCAGTGACACAAAACAGGGAAGCTACAACTGTTTGGGAAAATCCTACCCAAATGCTGATTTTATGGACACTATATTCTCCACTAAAAAAAAAAAAAAATAACAAAAAAAAAAAAAACCCACATAAAAATCAGTCTCACAGGGAAAATTTAAAGTAAATATTTAGCTTTGACTCAATATTAATTTTTGTGCTTGTTTGCACTGCATATTACACTGGTTTTAGGAAGCTGTGTTTGAACAGCCCTCTGTCTCCATTAATATTGAAGACATTCCCAAATAGATTTCAACTCCAGCAGTATCATGCCTCATTTTTGCCTAAATTTGAGTACTCTGGAGAGGTGTGCAGCTTTGTAAAGAAATGCTTCTTTCCAAAATATACAATACCAATAATACATAAACACGCAAACTGACTTTGGGGATACCAAGAATTCAAGTTTTATGGAAAAATCCTTACTCACTCAGGTTTCCAAAATCATTCTTCAGTGCTTATCATTTTCCTGCCAGTCTCCATACAGGTCACATCAAACTCCTGCTTCCACACTACAAAGAGGATCCTTCCTCCCTTCTTCTGACCCACTGGAGGGACGTGGAATAAATCCTTATTCAGCCGCAAAAGCAAAGGCTTGTCAGGACTGAAGCAGCTGGGCTGAGGCCAGGAGATGCAAGAAAAGCATCACCCACCTTGGACACAGGGCACAGACAAAAACTGCCCCAAAGTCCTGCCACACCTTGCTGTCCATCTCTGCAAACAGGATTCCTCTGCCCCTAGCACAGCACGGTCCTCTGCCCAGAGCAGGCTCACAAAACAGAAACAAAATCATTCAGAAAGCAAGAGCAGGAGATTTATGAGAGTTATAAAACAATCTCTCTCCCCTGCAGACTCCAAGATTAAAGTCCAGTCAAATCCCATACACCTACAAGGCAGCTGGGCTCAATGTTGTACCGCAGCCCAGGAGCGCTCAGCCAAGAGGACTCAAGATACACTCGAGATCTTCTCACAAAATGTGTAAGGAGGATCTAATTAAAAATTACAGCTGAAAGGCTCAAAAATGAGGCTGAAGCTCCAGCATGCCAGGAGCTGCTGAAATTTTGGCACACCAGCACTGATGGATGCAGGACTAGGGGAATTCTTGTCCTAGACAAGAGTTTAAACCAGACAGTCCTAAGTGTTTCTCTAGCCTTAAACTGATAGCAACAGCAATGACAAAAGATAAGATATAATGAAATTAAATAATAACAGACCACAGGGAAAAGTCTGGCTTTTGTGATCTCCTTTAAGGATGAATTTGGCCAACTAAGTAGCAGCCAACACAGCAYCTGAGRTAASTCGYRGAAYACGCCYAAAACAGAAAATAACGCCTGGCCTSAGAAACTGAAAGGAAAATGTCTGATCACAGACCTGCCCTTCAGTGAGGCGGCCTGAGAAACATCAGCAGCACCCCGAGATGTGCTTCCCACCATCACACAGACACCCCAAGCCATGGCCACACCAGCGGGGTGGCCTCGCTGGCAGCCTGAGAGCTGCTCACACTTGTTGGGGCCACAGCCTGCGCTGCCACCACAGCCCCGGGGCTGAGCTGGGTGAGAACAGCGAGCTGGTCCCAGGGGTGACCACAGGCAGCCCTGCAGCACAGCCCCTTGTGCTCCTGCCCCAGCTTCACACCTCCAACATCACCTTCACAGCTCCAGCATCACCTTCACAGCTCCAGCATCGCCTTCACACCCCCAGCACCGCCGTCACCAAAACTGCACACGCGTCAGGACAGCTCCACCAGCCCAGCAATGGCAGCAAAAGCAGAAATGCACCCTGAACCATCTGAAAGCAGAGACCCACGGATCAGGAGGGTGGTACCCCACTGCTTCCCCAAAAGGAGGAGCTCCTGATACAAGCCTTCCTTCAATCTCTTCAGTCACCAAAGCACTTCCATCACCAGCACCGACGTCCACGGGTGGCGAGGGCTCCTCAGCGTGTTCTGTTATTTAATGTGAGCACTTCAAAAGGAAGCAGCTGCCAAAGGACTGGCCCTGCAGCCATGGAAGGGATAACCCCAGCTGGGCTGGCAGCCCAGGCCCTGACTCCACACTGGCACAGCCCCAGTGATGCCAGCACCTGCCAGCATCAGCAAACACCCTCGGGACCCAGCCTCCCAACAGCAGTGTGGGTGTAGCACAAGCACCACGCAGACATCAAGTTTTGCTCCTCATTTCTTTTCTATTTTTATTTCCCAGCATTGACCATGGTTGCCTAAAGACAATAAACCCTACATTTTTTTTCAGAGAAATATGGTGCCGCAGAATTAATCTTGACAGAGTTATTAAAGTCCAAAGCAGACCATGAAATCAGTTTTGGGTCAACAATGCAGCTGATGTTCTTTCTCAAAGGAAGCAGGAGAGGCTCAGGGAAACTCAACAGCCTGAAGGCAGCACAGATGATGCTCAGAGGGAACTCCTACACCATAATATAAGAGATAAGTGATACAGGAATGTAATCATCCATATGTATTTGACACAATCATCAAAGGGTAATATGTACAGAGGAAAGTTTTTTAATGCCAAGATCCATCTGGCATGGGATAACTTATTTTAGGGAACCACAGGCTTATGCCTGGAAGGTTTAGTATCAAAGCCAAAGGAAAAGTCCTGTTGTATTGGGAGAAGCAAACAAGAAGTCTGAAATTCTATGCATGCCTGATATTGTGCATGCTGTGAGGTGGTTTCAGAATAAATCAAACTGAACTGGTGGCGTGCAGCATCACACCACTGGCAGGCAGACCTGTAAACAACCATCCCCTATCTCCAGCACTTTCATCCTGAGCTTGGTCCCCTAGGCAAGAACCAGGAGGAAAAGCATAGACTTTCTGGCTGGTTTAGAGGTAACCTGGCCAAGTTTTACCTCACTGGGAGAGGAAAATGTGCTTATCAATGTAGTAAATCCTTCAGTCACCCTCAAGGAAATGAAGGCAGCGCGTTTGTCTGCAGCACAAAGGTGGAAAAGATCAACTGCTGGAGCTCAGCTGGAGTTGTGAGAACAACACAGGATTTTGGCCCAGAGCTAAGTAGAGGCTTTAACTTCTGTTGAACTTCACGGGAAATGCAGCACTGGAGGATTTTGGCAAGCAAGCAGGTACGGGATGATGAGTTCAGCCACGGCCTCGTCACGCTCCCACCGTGAGGCACGAGCCCGTGCCAGGACAGCGTGCTGGGATTTGGGAACTCCACTCCAACCCCAAAGCTCTCCGTGGTGCCCATGCCTGAACTTGCCGAGACCGTGCTGCTCCACGTGACTTCAAAGGGAGCTGCCAGGGGTTGGCTTCCCACAGGAGGGGCCCCAGTCAACCACCTCACTCATCTTCCCCAGAAAAGAGCTGCACTAACATGGTTCCCAACAACAGGGAAGCTGCTATTTACTCCCCTTCGCTCTGTTACAAAAAAAAAAAAAAGACAATTTAAGAGCAGAGCAGATGCAGGGAGACCAAAACAGAACACCTTAATCACACGCCTCACACATACAATAAAAACTGGTCGTGCATGATTCATCAATGGAAGAGGTTTGGAAAACAAATTCAGAAGGAGGGTAATCTCTCAGCCAACATATCAACACCCAGCTGAAGCATCCACCGAACTGGCAGAGCAGGTATTGTGAGTCGGCTCCAGAGAGCCCTTGGGAAAGGATGGGAAGAGGCAGATCCAAAATGTGGCTGCCTGTGAGTCTCTTGCTCTCCAGAGGGGAGATGAGGTCGATAAGGTGGGCCTCCAGGAGGAATAGGAATCCCCAACACTGCACCTGGCACGAGCATTAAATC